CCCAAGAAAGGGGACAGACGCCCCCGCCAAGCACTGCTCTTCTGCGGTGGCCCTGTCTTTCACCTGCGGGTTCATGGCAGGCAGAAGGGGCCCAACGCCTGGCTGGAAGCCACAGTGGGAGATGGAGCCCACAGGTTTCCTGGATCGCATCTCAGACAGAGCCCAGGGGCTGGAGGGGAAAAGGATGCAGGGGCAGCAGCAGCATCAGGAGGCAGGGGCAGAGGCTGAGGCTCTGGGCAGGAAGCAAAGCGCTGCAGGTGCGAGTGTCTGGGCAGGAGAGGCAGAGCCAATGTCAGGGCAAGGTGCCACACGCACGCGCACACACACACAGGCATCCTGAGTGCTCCTCAGCCTCTTCAGCCTGGACTCACAACTAAGGCACCCGACAGACCATAATAGCAGCCCATCCTCCCTTCCCTTCCGAGCTGCGGCTGCGGCCGCTCCTCTCCGTCTTCACCACCTTCAGACAGTCCTAGAAAGCAGGATGAGACTACAGAGAAGGGGGGCAGCCAGAAGGAGAAAAGGGACAGGACAGAAAGGGGGTGTGGGCCCAGGGGGTGAGCAGATGAAGAGCAGGGCTGAGGACAACAAGGGCCAGGGAGAGGGGAGACTACCAGGGAAAGAAGCTGGCAGAGATGGGGGCAGGTGGACAGGGGGAGACAGGAGGGGGTGCACTGGAGCTCCGGGGACCTGGAGGACAATGCCAGTGCCTGACAGTGAGGTCCCTAGGCTGCCTGGCAGGAGAGGGGGCCATGCCCCTGCCCTTCTGCCCACCGCTCCTGCGCTGGCGCTACTGCCAGGAAGCCGCCCTTCCCCCTCCTCTGCGCCCTCCCCCCTCCCTGGGGGCAGGCAGGCGCTGCTTTCCAGCCAAATCCAGAGCCTTCATCTCCGCTTTTCAGAGCCCCAATGAAAGAAGGAGAAGTGAGTGCAGCCTTCAAACCCGCTGACGGCCAGATTTTATTATCTCTGCTCAAATGGGCCCTGGGAAGCCACCGAAGGATTCTTCAAAGAGCTCCTGAGAACCTCATTGAAGCCCGCACCTGCGCAGACCACCCACCCGCGGCACGGGGGTGGGGTGGGGGGGAGGGCTGGGGCTACAACCTGCCCCCCACCCTACCCTAGGGAGCAGAGCAAGGCAGCCAGCGACCTCACCCTCAGCACCCTGTGCCCAGACAGGGCCTCCAAGGTGGGGAACCAGGCTCCACCACCAGTTCTGGGGGTGCTGGGCACCAAACGCGGTCTCTGTCCCTCTCTGAGCCTGGAAGACTCAAAGGAAGGAAAAAAACAGACCTCCTTGCCAGGGCCTGGCGGAGCTAAGTGCTTGGGATTCCTCGAAAGAGAAGCCTTACAGCAAGCCCTGGCTCCTTCCCTTGGACTCCGCACCACCTAGCACCCATGGGCTGCTCCAGGCTCCCCTTGTGGGCACCCTGTCCTGCCCTGGCCCACCAGGCAGGAGGAAAGCCCCCTGCACTACCCTTCCACTAGCCCCACTATGGTTCCCCTGGTTCAGATCTTCAGCCCTTGTTCCCTTCTGTCCAAAGACCTAACCCAAGCTGGGTAAGGCCTGGAGGCTTGGCAGGCCAGGGACTTCAAGGGGCCCAAGCCTCACCCTCAGAACTTCCAGGGCTTGAGATCTTGGCAAGGATCGCCAAGGGTGGTGCTGGGCAGACAGCAGCAATGCCACCCCCACTGCCCAAGTCTGACCACACTCTGGAGATCAATACCCCAAGCCAAAGACAGAATCAATGGGTCTAATTAAACCCTCTTTCCAGGGTGGCTCTCTGAACAGAGAGACAGAGACACAGAAAGAGACTATCAGAAAGCCCTAGTTCCTGGCTGGTTCCCTACACATCTTGGAGCCCTGAAGACGCCAGACCCCTGCATTAGACAAAAAGGCAAGTAGAGCGGCAGGGGCTGGGGGTGTCTCCAAAGGGCTGATTTCAGGGACCCCCTCCCCTAGGGGGCTCCCTTCACTCCATGATGAGACCATTGGTGCCCTTCCCAGAGAGCTCTCCAGGGCACTGACAGCAGAGCAGAAGGGGATCCACCCGCATCTCCTTCCCAGGCCGGAGGTCATCACAGAGAACCAACCCTCTAAGAAAGGGCAGATGGAGCAGGCTGGGGGGGGGTGCTGGACAAAGATCCCCTTGTCCCCAAGGGAGGGTGGCAGGAAGCCAGGGCAAAGCCTTGGCACTTGCTGCCAAGGGTGCCAGGCGGTCTGGCTGGGGAGCCGGGGGTATTATTCTTAGAGCCCCCTTCCCTGTGCTTCAGCCTGAAACCCCATCTCCCTCTTCCATACCAAGCCACCAGCTAAGTCTCTGCTGGTAACAACTCCCCGCCTGCCTAGAGTGTCCTTCTGGTGTGAAAGCTGGTCCCCCCACTTGCCCAGAGTGGCCTCCACACCGAGCGGAACCAGCAAACCCCAACACTTACCCTAGCTGCCCCCATTCATCCACACACTAGCACCCGAAAGCACCACCAGGCCAGCTGCACAGCGATGACAGCTCACATTTGCAGTGACAGTCTCCATCTAATGCATCATTTTTTTTCAGAAGACGAAAAGGAATGTAAGCAACTGAGGCACCGAGTTAGCCAAGCAGCTGGCTCAAGGTCACCCAGACCAGGATCTCCAGTCAAGAGGAAGGTACCCCATCACCGGTGAAGTGCTCAAACCCCACCCAAAGGGACGCGTGGGGACCACAAAGCTGAGGTCTGTCTGTCGGCTTCCCCTTCCCCTAGACAGCAGCCCTGCATTGCTTTTCGAAAGGGTTCAGCCAGGACCCCTCTGCGCAGCTAGGAGATCCCACTTCTCTAAAAGTTGGGGTCCGCAGGACCTTCCTGGTGCCGCAGTATTGGGGTCAGGGGTTGAGACACTCGGCTCAGGAGCCCCTCCTCGCCCGCGCCCGACTCCGCAGCTCACCTGCCTCCCCCCGGCCCCCGGCGTCCCTCGGGCCGGCCTCCTCCCGGGGAGAGCGCGCCCTGCCCTCCGCCGTCCTCTCCCACCAGGCCAGGGCGAAGCGCCGCAGGCAGTGCCAGGGCTGCATGGGGAGGCGCGGGGCGGGGGGCGCTCCCTGGGCAGCTGCACGCGCCCAGCCGGGCCCTGCCAGCCGAGCTGCGGAGGCACCGGCCAGCCCCCTCCGCCGCCACCAGCATCCTGCTGCCCCCACCGACAGAACTCAGAGCCGGCCCGGGAGATTCTGACGTAGCAGGGGGGTGGGTGGGAGGGGGGCCGCGACGCGTCCCCTCGCGGCCCCACCCCTTGCGTCCCAGCCCCCCACAGGTCCTTCCCTGCGCGCTCACCCCGGACGCCCTCCCCAGGTGGGGGGTGCCCTCCCCTGCCCTCCAGCTCCTGCAGGAGGAGGGGTTAACACCCGATCGCCCCTCCTCCAACCCCTCCCTCTCCGTCGCGAAGCGGGGAACAAGCAGGTCCCCAGTTTCGGCGACTGCTGCTGAGACACAGAGGTCTCCAGGCTAGGGCCAGGAAGTGCAGGGGGTAGGGTGTGGAAAGCAGCTGGTATCCTAGCAACGCCGCCAACCCTAGACGCACCCAGTCCTTTCCTTTCCCGGGATCCGATGCGGACCCCATGCTGAGATTGGGGGGCCCTGGATGTGTCTCGCTCCTCCATCCCCTTCCCCTCCCCCTGCGGCCCCCTCCGATGCACCCCTCCCCTCCCCCACACGGCTGCTAGCGGCCCCTTCCTCTCTCACTCCTCCCCCTCCCCCAATCCCTCTCCGTTCCAACGCCGCGCACCCCTCTCGGAGCGGGCACCGCCCCCACCACTCCGGCCTCGCCAGCCCGGGACCCCCACTCGGTCCCAGCGCGCTCACGCCCCGGTCCGCGGCCCCTGCTCTCTACACCTGATCCCCGACCATCCGTCGCCCCCGCCCCCGGCCGAGGGGAAAACACACAAAGAAAACAGAAATACCTTCCACTAAGCATGGAGGCACATTAGGGAGGAGAGGACAGGGACATGCCTTGGGACGGAGCGTTCCCCATCGGGCGGGCGGCGGGGGCGGGGCGGGGCCCCGGGCC